ACTCTCTCTCTCTCTCTCTCTCTCTCTCTCTCTCTCTCTCTCTCTCTTCCCCCCCTCTCTCTCTCTCTCCCTATATATTGTCTCTCTCTCTCCCTATATATATATATATATAGTCACATGATATATCTCGTCACATGAATATGAGAGCGCAAAGGCGAAAAAAACAGAAGAAAACAAGAAAAAAATAATTCGTTTTTTTTTCTTTCTTACAACTCCCCCTGTTCAGAACCTCTTGCTTACAAGGCCGCCCACGAGGAGGTAGGTTGAGCGGCGGCTATATATCGTCACAAACAGAACTGCCCGGTAAACCGTAGGCAGAGAGAGAGAAGAGGATAACAAACGAGGGGCTGTGACAAACTGTTTCGTCGGAGTTTCACCGACTCATCAGGAGGCTGAACCCTCAACAGTCTGCAGAATCCCCTCACTGATTACACTGTAAATGATAATCTACCTTAACCAAAATCAAAGTAGACTATCACTCACCCACACCAGATGGAAAACTCTACAGACTGTCGGTTCACACCATATATATATTGTCACAGGATATCAGAGCGCAAAAGCGAAAAAAACATAAAAAACACACCATATACATATTGTCACAAGAATATCAGAGCGCAAATGCGAAAACAAGAAAGAAAAACAGGAAAAAATGAAATCAGTTTTTTATCTTCTTCCTTATAACTCCCCCTGTTCAGAATATATATTGTCACAAGATATCAGAGCGCAAAAGCGAAGAAAACCAGGAAAAAATGAATTCTTTTTTTTATCTTCGTCTTTACAACTGCCCCTGTTCAGAACGTCTTGCGTACAAGGCCGCCCACGTGGATGTAGGTTGAGCGGCGGCTGCCCCCACTCCCGTGTGTCATGTCGACCCACTTGCACACAGCCAAAGGGCAAGGAGGCAAAGAAAAGAGGAAGGGATATGTATATATATATCGCTTTCCGTTGTCATCCCCCGCAACGTTGTTTCCCAGCCACCCGTTCCTCTCCATAAGCCCCTTCCCCATCCCGCACCCTTTCCAGGACACGCACACCTCCCTGGCATAAAAAAGCGGGCTACTACGCGTATTTTTCATCCTGAAACGGGTAAAGTCGCCCTCCCTCAGTACTAGTCCAATGCCCCGCCCTTTCCCGCACTGACTTGCATCTTTTTCTAAAAGTCCACACCTCCTAATGCACACTCTTCTCCTCTCCCCCTCTCCCCATGCAACCCCCTCACGAGTACCCATGCTTCTTTGACACTACCACGCGCAACTTCTCTCGCCCCCCAACCCGCACCCCTCTTGCGCTGTTCTTCCCTTGGTCTCTGATTTTCCCGCTCTTCCACCTCTACAGTGCTTCCCCCCCCCCCCCCCCCCC